ATCTCACATGCATGTCACATGAACACACATGCTCTGACCACATGCCCTACGACCGATGATCAGGTGTACATGACTGCCCTGGCTGGGAATTACACCTACGTGCCCGTTGCGGACGGCGACTTCTCCTTCCCGGAGGTGTGTGGCAGCCAGACATCCGACGTGGCCCGCCCCCTGATCTTCGGTCAGTCGGCCGACTTCTCTTCCAGTACCATTCCCACCACTCGCAACACGCAACACGCTGTGCTCACCTTGGTGACAGGCGACAAGGCAGTGGTGGCCCACAGAGTGCGGGCCGGCATTCTGGCGGCATTCGCCGGACGTAACGCGAGACAGAACGGCTACAACGGCCGCAAGCTGCGCCTCATTTCCACCGACGATCAGGGCAACGTAGGTCAAACCATTCACACATTCCAGTGGACATGAGCATTCACCTATAGACTCTACTTGCGGTTCATCACAGAGCGCCCGTGCCGCCGCAAACGTCAACACGCTGGTCAACGAAAACGCCGTGTTCGGAATCATGGGTACTTTGTAGAATTGTCGTGTGCGGTGCGGTGCGGTGAATGCGTGCTATGTGAAGGTGGCTCAATACGCGAAAAAAACCCCCACACAAACAGGAAGCGTTGGCGACAGCACGGTGACGGCTGTGACGGATCTGGTGACCAGCCTCCAGGTGCCCATGGTCGGGCCGATCTCCGGCTCGCCCGACCTGCGCGAACCGTGGCGCGAGAATGTGGTCAACATTCGCGCCTCGGTCGTCGACGAAACGAAGCTGCTGGTGAACCACATGGTGACCGGCCTCGGCATGGTCCGCGCGATGGCGCTCTGGTCGGACGACGCCACCGGCGCCAATGGGCTCAAGGCTCTCAGCGACTCGCTGCGCGTCTTCGGCGCCAACGTCGTCGCCAACGCCTCATACAACCCGGCCACGGGCAACGTCGCGCAAGCTTTCGCCTGGCTCGATGCGGCCTCAAACAGCCTTGGTCTGGCCCCTCAGGCCATCTTCCTCTACGGCACCCAGAACGTACGTATTTTATTGATTTGTTTTATTATTTACATGTTTGCATTGATGGAATCTGTGTTCTCTCTGCAGCCGGTGGCGCAGTTCATTGTGCAGGCGCACTCGCGCTGGCCCAGCGCTGCCTTCTTTGCCACTTCTTCAGCCTCAGCCGATGGCCTAAGTCAAAGTACGTTTCTGCGCACGCCCAACCATGCCACGAGCGCAGCTCTCATTTCTTTCGTGCGAATGGGACAACAGCATTGGGCGGCGCAGGCGTTGCCACGAATGTGCAGCTGTACTTGAGCTCGGTGACACCGAACCCATGGGACACCAGCCTTCCCCTGGTCGCGCAGTACCTGACCGACATGCAGTCCTTCTCGACTGCGGAGTACATCGGCTTCGCCTCGCTCGAGGGCTACATCGGCGCCGCGTTCGCCCTCCAGGTGCTCGACCTCCTGCCCGCTACCAGCAACCCGACCGGTCAGCAGTTTCTAGACGCCATCTATTCGCGCGAGCTCGTCGCCTTCCAGGGACTCCGTCTGGGTCCCTTCGGCAACACTGTGTGCACCAGGAACACGTGCGATCCGTTCTTATTCCAACGCTATGAAACACCACACACGACACACATGAAGATAAACTTTAACTTTTGGCTGATTGGTTGCAGGATGGCGTGCAAGTGCAACCAGGGCCTGCACACGACGTGGACGACTAAGATGAATGCTACCTACGGTTGGGAGAACCTCCCCAATAATACCCTCGAGTGGACCACCTGCACGTCCACCTCCACGTACAACTCCACCTATGACACTCTACTACGACACCACCTCACACGACACGGCACACAGCTGTAATGCGCCGCACTTGCAACCAATAGAGTTATAGTTAAAAAACCTTTTTCGAAAATGTTGCTATGCAGTTGCGGCGACGGCGTATGTCATGAGGGATCGGGTGAGACCGCTGCCTCGTGCCCGCAGGACTGCAGTCCTTGCGGCCCCTATCCGTCGGCCAGCCACCAGGCCGTGTGTGTGAACAACATCTGGGTTGTTGTCGGCGACGTAGACTTAGCCGCTGGCGAGGTTCTCTCCTGTTCGTGTCGTGTGTGTCGTGTGTGTCGCAAGTGACTCACAAGAAACTCGCACGTGTAACAGAAGCTGGAGGTCGGTGGAGCTGCGCTGATTGTGACGGGCGATCTCCGGATGCAGGCGTCGTCGTCACTCCACGTGAACGCAACCAGCAGAGACTCCTACGGTTCCATCACTGCTCTGGGTAGCCCCTAAGACCAATATTTTGATACACGTTTCTTTATGTTCATTTTCATGTTTTCTTCGTGTGTGTGTTGTGTGTGTGTGTGTGTGTTGTGTGTGTGTGTGTGTGTGTGTGTGTGCAGGGTGTGGAGCTGTGTCTGGCACGCTCGAGCTGAACATCTACTTCCCTATCGACGCGCCCATCACCTTCACCCTGATCTCGGCGTCCAATGGCCCGTGCAGCTCTCACATCTCAACAGCCCAGACAGGTAACAACATCTCTTATCCGAATCGGTTTGAATCATGATAATTTATCTCACTTTCTTAAAAAACGTTGGCCAACAACCACAGGAGGGGAGAAGAGGGGGCCGACGCTAGCCTTCCGCGAGGTGCAGATCAACTACCGGCGGCAGGAGGCGGGCCAGTGCGACCCGGAATCGGAGACCCGGAGCACGTCAACCTCCTACGCGGTGCTGGTCACGCCCAGCACCAGCTGTGGCGACGACACCGCGGCCCTCATCGCCGGCCTCACCGCAGGTACCACTGCCGCTACTGCTTTGTTGGACTCACACGCCTCATCAATGACTCAATGCAGGTCTAGTTGGCGGGGCTGTGGTGGTTGTGGTGCTGGTTGTCGTTGGCGCGGTGGCGTGGACCTGGTGGGTACGGAGGAGGCGCATCAACGTGCGCGACAGCGTCAACTTCAGCATCACCGACCCCAATGACGGCTTGTGAAAAATGTGTTCAGAAGGCCTGGAATTAATTTTTTATTTTTTTATTTCGGAGGACCAGAGTAAAGAGGCCTCCTTGGTTCGAGCTGACCTAGCCCACGGCATCTGCGTGGCACGGTTTCGTCGTTGGGCCTCCGTCGCTCGCGGGCTTGCGCTTGCGTCGTCTTCTTCTGGTCCTGAATGAGGGAAAAAGGCAGGTGTTGACTGTGTAGCTGCTGAGCAGGAGCGCCAAGGCTGAGTGGTTACTTCGAGGTAATGCGCAAGACTATTAATCTTGAGATCGGCGGTTCGATCCCGCCCAGGGGCGCGAAGAAGCCCCTGTAGCATAGTTAATAACTATCAACCACTGGCGCTATCGCTCCTGCTTTTGCCCTGCTACTACATCACAGCACAGGATGATGGTTGGTTGTTTATTGATGATGTGTTGGCGGTTGAATCTAGTGTTCAACATGCACCCACTTCTCACAGGCGTTCCACAGTTTGGTGAAGCAGTCCTCCTTGCCAAAGGCCAGCACCCGCTCCAAGTACCGTTCATCGGCGCACTTGAACCACTGGAAGAAGGAGACCAGGACGAAGTCTGCGTAGGACGGTACATCGCCCAAGAAGAACGGCCCAGCGCGCTCAATCACCACGCCCTGAGGCGCGGACCAGCGGCCGCTGAGCATGTCCGACAAGATCGCGATCTCCTGGCCGACCCGCTTCCAGTCGCCTTCGGGGTCATCGCACAGCTCCTCGAGCGGCTTGCCGAACCACTCCTTGCGCGTCTGCCGGAAGTACTCGGCGCCGCGGTCGTCCAGGAAGGCAGGGACCTTGGGAAGCAGCAGCTTCATCGCGGCCGGCAGCACCTTAGAGTAGAGGTGGTGGTGGACCAGCTGGGCGAGCGGC